TTCCTGCCAGTTATTACAGACCGCAGTTCCTCTCCACACACACACACACACACACACACACACACACACACACACACACACACACACACACACACACACACACACACACACCCCATCCATCTACTGGAAATGTTTTGGCAAAGGACACAAGACTCCACTTTCACCATAGCTACCCCGCTAGCAGACTGTCTCCATAGAGAAAGCATATCATCAGCAGCCTTACTGTCCTCAGCCTTCACTCACAGTCATAGGCGATCATCTCTTGTTTGATCTGTACAGATTTACTTTGAACTTGTATGCAGCTGCGCCATGTGTCTATCTGCGGGTTGATTTTGGACAGGCAATAAAAGACATGAAGAAAAAAAAATCATAGCCCAGAGTAATGAAAGAAACAGGGTGGAGAAGAGGGTGGGAGTCTCCCGTTCAACCCCCCTTTCTTGAGTGCCTCAATAACATTCTTCATTCTGAGCTGCCTTGGGGAGAAAAGGGGGTCCCCTTTCATGCCGAGCAGGGTGTGGTGCAAGAGGGGCCGTCACGAACCTTTAGCTCTAGTTATTCCCACCTCTTTCTTTTTTTCTCGCCTCTTTCTCCTTCTCTTTGTCTCTTTAATTGGACTGACTGACCACCGCTCTCTCACCTACAGTCCTGGGGGCATGTTGGGATCTCAGGAAATCAATACTGTAGCAAAGGAAAGGAGAGCTGTAGGGGCAAAAAGCTCAAAAGTCAGACTTTTTAGCAAACACGCAGAGAAATGATAAACAAATTACAGATATTTTGGGTGTTGTGTTTCCCTTTGGTTTCCATGTCAACTATTCAAGTCCTTGAATGAATTCTGACTCTAATGTCCCGGCAATTAGATCAGTCTGATGGGAAACAAGTAAGAGAAGCAAGAATGCCAGAATCCAGCCCTGACCTTCTCTGTGATTGGTCCAGACAGGATGTTTAAAGGTAACAAGGATCGATTAGTATTCCTGCCTTAAGTCTTGCATGGCTGCTTCTAGCTTTCAGCCCTGTAATGGTAACTGCTGTCAAGTTATTGTCTGTTTGGATTCCTGTTTAGCTCATGAATGTTTGTTCTGAACATGTGTATATGTGTTTGTGTGAACTTCTCCTTCTTTGACAGCGATCCCCCCCTCCCACCTTCATGCCCTCACTCCCCTGCAGTGCTCCCGACAACAACATGTTTCCCCGGAGACCGATTCAATCTCCTAAAATCAGAAATTGCACACAAACACTCGCACAGGCACACACGCCAGTCCTCCCTCTCTCCTCTTTGTTTGTTTGGGTTTGGCTTTGTTCTTAATTTCACAGATAAAAGCTGAGCAGCTTTACATGATAGCAAGATAACAAAGGCAGGAAGATAATCCTAATTCAGCCAGCTCACAGAGGTAATCTAAACTGAAAAATATCCCCTCAAAGAAGCTGTTTTTTAAAGCTGTCAACACCAACTGTGCAATTTCTCACCACAACATCATGGTGTAAATACCATAAGTACTTCTGTCCCATTTTCACACTAATGCACAGAGGCAGAAGAAGGATGACGTCATATATAAAAGACCTGTAAGCAACAATCGCATGTGACAGACAACAAGATGCAGAAAACGTGTAACACAAATGGAAAAAACCCGAAACACAAACAAGTCCAGT